AACGGTTATGACACGCGTTTCAAATTTCAGATTAAACCAAACTCGGTGGCTCTGGAAAGCTAAGACTCAGGGCTTTCCAATGATACCTAGATTGTCTTCTGGGTCGTTACAAAACGACGGAAAAACAGCCCGCAAGTTCATTGTTCGGAACTGGAAACAGAAAATTCCANTCTCAAAAAACATGAACGACACGTTTACATCTAAAGAACACAGAGAACGGAAATTACATCGGAAACAGGATCGAAAAGCTGTTCTGAAAACTAGACAGAGAGAGCTTTCGACAGATAGGCGGATCGTCTCCTAAGTCCTTCTGGTTCGACGAGAATCCTCCCTCGAAATGGACTGATCGCAGACCCAAAACTGCAGAGACATCTCTTAGTAAAACGACGATAACTCTCGGAATACTAATCCAAATGACAAACCGATTTCGCTCAAAGCGAGATACGAGAGTGGAGAACTTATCCTAGAAGTTCGTTCCAATCCGATCCGATCTTCCCAGCCGTTCGTCTCTCCTTCTAAAATCGGACAGAACTGTTTTTAAAACAACAATCTCTTCTTCTCTCTCACAACCTACGAAATCCTCTCCTTTTCCTCTCCAAAATCGGTTCCAAAAACGTCTCCATGCGTTTTTATATCATGCCCTAGGGTTCCCTAAACCGGANNCCAAACCAANCGATCAAGAACNGAACTTGTCGGTTCGATTTNAACTTGCGTCGATCGACGCACATCACTTGTGTCGATCGACGCAACACCCAGAACCCGACTACTCGGGAGTCCAAACACGTGTGTCGATTGACCCACCAACCAAAAATACACATTTTGGTTCACGAATTTTCTTATATTTTTATTAACGTAAAGTATTGTTAATTTTTATTTCAATTTCTTAGGTTTAGAGTATTTCATAATCATTTGTAAGCTATAAATTGTTGTTTTTTTTATAAAAGATATGAATTGTTGTTACAAATGATCATATATATATTTTTATGAAAGATACTAAAACAATAGAATTATTGATCCGTAAATGGAATAGGTTGATCCGGTGACCTAGTAATCCCAAAACATTTCCGGCAGGAGATCATAAACATTGATTGCTTATATTTAGCCAATTATCTAAGAAGAATCTATAGCTTTAACTCACATGGGGCGTAATGTGTGCTCGTTTTAGTTAATTTCTTAAGTCGTTGGTCCACAAAAAGACATGTTTTTGCAATTGAAGTGACCTGAGGACCCAAGAAAGCTAAAAACAAAAGTGCACGTACGTCTTCGAGATACAATATACATTATAATATATGGTTGATTATGCAGACACTCGAAGTGGACTAGTGTACGAAACTGTCCTACCAGTTTCAGAACACATTACGAAGCAAAAGTGGTTAAAAGACATGTCTAACTCTTGTCGATCTCTCGTTCGTTGCTTCATCACCTCTTCCTTTACTTCACCTTGTGTATATATACTTTTTTTTGGGAAGAATTTGTTATATTATATCGAAAACTAACCCATCAAAAATACTATCTCACATGCAAAATTCGAAAAATCTTTTTTCTTTTTTTTGTTTGGTAAAAAAATTGGGAAAATCTATAGGATAAATTTAACCTTAGAAAAGAGGTAAACAAAAACATTCCTATAAAGGAGTGGAAGTACTACCAGGCCCGGCCCAGAGGGCAGGCGGGTTAGGTCATGGCTTTGGGCCACCATTTTTTTTGTTCAATTTATGGGCTACATTTTTTGTAAAACAAATGTTTAGGCCNCATGGAAAAAATATTTTGGACCACAAATAAAATATGTTTTGGATTACAAATAAAAAAAAATATTGGATTTGTGAACTATTAAGTTTTT